CACACACACACACACACACACACACACACACACACACACACACACAAATAAACATTTTGTACCATAAATAACTTTTTTTTTTCTGTTCGTGCATTATGACTTTTATTTTTTCCACATGATCTGAGTGAAACTCAGGGATGAAATGTCAAGCAAACAGCTGACGCAGTTCAAAACATTAAAAACCAGCAGCRGAGGAAAATGAATCACAAAGGATCAAAGATGAGGGAAAATGTCTCTGTACATGTAAAATAAATAAATGATGCTGGCATATGTGTCCATCTTATCGTCACCGCGCATTCGCAGAGCAGAGAACAAGAAGGTTTTGCATGAATGATAGCACTATTTGTGCAAAACTGGTTTTTATTGCTGTGAAAGAAAATAATGTTAAGCATGTCTGTTTACCAGTTTATGTGCGGAGTATATCCCAATGCATGGAAAGTGAATAAAATAAGAGTCACACAACCACCTAGAGAGCTGCTCGGTCTGAAGGCTTTTACTGACAACAAAGAGCTCGGAGACATGACTCCGCCCATTTTATTACATCATCAGGAAGTGGTCCCTAACCCCACTCGAGTCATGCCTCCAGACAATAATAATCTGCCCTAATGAAGATTAATGATTCAGTTACGTGTTGAATCTGTGTTCAGGCTTGTATCTATATAAAAATCATCTATTTAAGCAAAATGGTCACATTTAACAGTTATTGCAGTTCTCCTCATAATAAGACTATACCATGTGTAGTGTAATTAAAATCAGTATATAAACTAACACCCCAATAAATTTCTTCAGCTGCATGATAAAATGTTACAAGAAAAGTTTGTGGAGTAACGTTAAACCATGCTGCTTGGTTCATGATTTTGTTTGCTCTTCTCACTTGAATCAGCTTGACAAGGGGAACATTTAGGGGATTGATTTTAGTTTCTCACAAAGGTTGATATATCTTAAAATGACAACATTATGACCATTTTAATATTAACTCTGAATTAGAATTTAAGAGTAGAAAACTACTTCTTGAGGAATTATCTTTGCTACTATACCAAACTTTAAATTAATACATCCTGAAATGGTTGAGTTAATTTTGCATTCAATATATGTTGAGGAATATTCTCAGCTACCAAGTTTTAGCTCAATTTTTCTGAAAATGGCTGAGTTATAGTCATATTTGCATTTACTGTGGCAGTWGTWAATGAGATATTTTGCTAATAGACAYTTTTACCAATAGTTTATGACAAATACTAACAAGGACTCAAGGCTGGTTTTATCATGTCTCTAGGATCACTGACAACTCCTTTCATGCCATTTTTTTAGCTCAGTATCTCTAAAAATGTCATTTCTGTTTTCCAAGTTAGCTCTAGCAGCCTTTTTGATTTGGTTGGACACAAAGTACTAATCAGTCATAAAGAGGTGTCTATTACTCATTTTGTGAAAGCTTTAATTTTCATTGAGTGGATTGTGAGATATTTCAAAAACCTTCACAGTTTTAGGAAGATTTGAACATTTCCCCTTGTGTCACTATTGTGTTGGCATGGTGACCTAAAAAAGCCAATTAAAGGAGACCAATTATGGGTCCTAGAAATTTTTATCTGTGGGCTATCCAGACCACATTCATTCAATTTAATGCACAAAATAATTCTCAGATAATAAAATTTCCCATTTTCCAGTTCTGCCCGCTCTGACTTCCATTCAGAAGAGATGTTTATGTTAATGAGCTCTGTTGGTAACGCCCTCCAAAAATCTGTTGACATTAACTCTGCCCTCCAAAGCCAGCGTTAGCATGGCTAATAATAGCAGAAGCTCCATTGTACAACCATTTGAGACCCAGAGGCAGAGTCGGTCGCAGCGTCTTTCTTTTTTTTTCTCCCCCTCCACTGCTCTGCGCTCAACTCTGCATGCTGTTACCAGAGCAGGGAGCAGCAGCGGTCAAAATACCTCAAAACTCAAACAAATAAGCTTTAACAAGGCTTTAATAAGCTAAACAATAGAGGTACATGAGAAAACGTGTTCATAATGAACGAAAATGAACAATTAAATTGTATCTATGCCAGTTTTGAACCCTGATCTCCCACTCTCTGGTCCAACACACTACCCATTGCCCCATTAGAGACTTGTTGCAAAATGAGCTACACATTGCACAACAACACTGTGACGGCTCTTTATACTGAGGAGGTGGAGTCTCACCCGGGAGTTGCTAGATAAGGGGCTGAACGCAGGTTCCGGTGGGTTGTCGTACGGCTTGTGACATCACAAAATGATGGAAGTATAAAACTTGTCGTTAATATGCATTAAAAATACATTTACTTACAGTAAATATGCCCCTGGGTGCCTTTTTTTGGTCTTAGGACTGTTTTTTTAAGAAGTACATACCCAAAGTTGAGTACAAAAAACCTTTAAAAAGTGAATTTTGCATGATAGGTCCCCTTTAAATAATAGCACACATCTCATGACCAAGCCAGTTGTTTTGCTGTATCATTTGTAYGGGTGCATGCTTCCATTCAGGCTGCAGTAAAGCTGACAGATGAGTAAAAACATATAAGAAACTTGCTTAGAATCTCTATGCTTCAGTGAAGTCCTTTGCAAACCCAGTTTATTCACACTTCTTCAGATTTGGCTTGAGGTTCATAACATTTTTATTTCTTTAAGAAAAAAATAGTTGTCTGAAAAGAATTGGTTGCATTGAGAACAAAAAAGACAGTCAGTTTAGTTTATATTTAATGATTATAATTTGCCTAAAAGAAGTGACCACAYGTTTTTGAACTGGGCTCAAATTAAAACTCATTGCTAACTCTAACACAGAGTATGAGCCAAAACAAAGTAGTGACTACACYAGGCCTGTAAGTGGCGCTGTAACAGTGCCATGAAAAAAAGATCAAAAGTAAGAAACAAGGCATTGAGCATCTGCATAATATTTATACAATGTTTTAGATGCAAAATGTAAATGACATGAAGAAGTGGATAATATCAATTTGATCAATCAGATTTATCAACGCCTCACAGCAAGGAGGTCCWGGGTTCGATCCCCGGTTCGGCCTGGGGTCTTTCAGAGTTTGCATGTTCTCCTCATGCTTGTGTGGATTTTCTCCGGGTGCTCTGGTTTCCCCCCAACAGCCCAAAAACACGTACAATAGGTTGCCTTCAGGCCCAGGCCTCACTTGAAAAGGAGATCTGTGATCTCAATGGGTTTCGCCTGGTTAAACTGCAGAAAACAAATAAATAAATACATTTTTAGGTTATATTAGAGGTAAATATATGAAATAATTTTCAAAGGGTTGTATTTTGGCTTGGGTGGCACAGTT